CAAACTGGATAAAAAGTCAATGTACACATGCACAAAGGGGATATGACGCCATCGACAGGCGACCGGTAACATTTTGTTGTTGAGTTTGAACATTGTTGGATAATGTAAGTACACAACTCAACTACATATAGAACATTGGGTTGGTGTTTCTAAAAAAATTAATAAGGAAATGTTAGAGATTATAGTTTTAAACAAAATCATTTTTTAAAATTACTGAATTTTCTATCTTTTTATCAATCAGTACAGCTCTAGCAACATCCTACAGTGTGCTGAATAATACACATTCATGAACTGTAATAAGCATGTAGCTGCTTGTTTATCTCTGCATCCTTTATCCCTCTGTGAGCAGGGCACACCTCTGGCTCCCTCCTCCCTCACCCAGATGATCAGTGGTCTGGTTGGACAGCTCCTGATGCCGGGACAGCCAGGTCTGTGTCAACTCTGACTCATAATTCATATAAAAAACCGAGGGATGTCAGGATGTTTGTTAATGTTGTGTGTTTATGTTTCAATCAGCACATGTATTATTATGAAATTTTTAAAACTCTCAAATATCTGTCAGTATTGGTCAGGTATACTTATTTTGTTATTTTCTTCGTCTGTTTCCTAACTGCTCCAGGTGATCCCATGTCCATGCCCTCTTCAAGCAGCTCTCAGTCCTCCTTCTCTACCTCTTCTTCGTCTGATTCCTCCTCCACCGCGTCTCCTCCCCCTTCCTCTGCCAGGACCTCCGGACAGACATCCACCCGCACCACCAGCACTACCTCCGTGGGCCAGCCAGCAGAGGGTGGCCCTGAGGGGAATCTGGCACAGCTCCTGGGCTCTCTGCTGGGAGGAGTGGCTGGGCCGGGGGGTCCCGGTTCTGTACCAGCTCCCTCCATCACTGTGACACTGCCGGGGGTGCCTGGCTTCTTCCAGGGCATGTCAGACTTCACACCGGTGGGTTCACATAGTGTTACAGAAAAGCAGAATATGGTGGCATGCAGGTTTTCTCCTGATTCCAAATGGGTGTCTGGTGGCTCCCCTGTCTTGAGGGCCAGAAAATGTGACATTGATTGATTGTTTGATTAATTAAAGGTCCAGTCAGAAATGGAATATAATATTCATAGGTATGTTTTCATTAGTGTAGAATCACCTTGAAGAAGAATCGTTGTGCGAAGAATGAGCCTTTCTTGTTTGGTGGTCATCATAGTTTCTCTATCATGCCTGGAAAAGGATGGTGAAGCGAAAAAGTTGCAATCTGCCACTGCACTGCTAGATGCCACTAAATGCTACACACTGGACCTTTTAGATATATATATACCCTGCTACAATATGATATACCATATATGCAATCATATAACACACAAAGTGATTTGTCTTGTACACAAAGCATGATGGGATATATATATATTGTGTACTTCTCTATTATGTAGTTTTTCTAGTTTTGCATTCTTTTGAACTTCTAAACTCTACTACACACTTGCATTTTTTTTAAATCGTCCTCAAGATTGTTTTGAAGTGGCCTAGTGGATAAGCACTGTAACTGTAACTACCCCAGTTCAATTCCAGTCAGGGACCTTCTTATTGACTTGCATTCATTTGTAATGTGTCCCACCATGAATTATTTAAACTTACAAATGACTTAAGATAATAAGTGGATCACTCTACACTTTAGAGTAGCTAATGAAAAAGGAAAAAACCGACAAATGACTGTAAGTAAGCACAATATAAAAAATAGTCTGGTTACTATGAACATAAAGTCAAACCTGCCATGTTGCTGATTGAATGAATGGAAACCCAAGAGTTCAGTGATTGGTTGCAGTCTTTAAGTTGACTTTTATTGACTCAAAACATCCCTTTATGCAGAAAAGCCCTTGACGTCTACAGGTATGTTTGCATTTGAGCAGAGCCATGAACATGTTGAGTTTCTTTTCACTGCCAAGCCGCCTGTCAGTGGCACTGGTGCTCCGGTCCCGCCTCAGTCCACCAGTCCTGCCCCATCCCAGGCCGGCAGCGGGGCAAGCGGGGACTCTCTGAGCCCGGAGCTGTTCACCGGCATCGTGCAGGGAGTGCTGTCCACCATGATGAGCTCTCTGGGTGCGCAGCAGGGCAACGGAGAGAGCATCGCCCAGTTCATCCAGAGACTGTCCCAGACCAGCAACTTGTTCACTCCTGGCTCTGGAGATGCTGTGGGTGAGTCACAAAGCAGGCGAATGAATGTTACTGCAACTTTTAGTTAACACCAACCTCATATAGCATTTTTATATATGTCGAATGAATTCTAACCGAAGTTTACTATTCACATTTCATAGGTTTACCATGATTGCTATTAATATACTGATAAACTGGCTCTCATCCCATTAGGGTTCTTCGGTGACCTGCTGTCTTTGGTGTGCCAGAGCTTCTCCATGGTGGACATGGTGCTGTTGCTTCACGGGAATGCCCAGCCTCTGAGCCGCATCCAGCCCCAGCTCACCAACTTCTTCACGGAACACTACCTCCAAGGCAGAGAGCCCACTGATGCTAACATAGCTGTAAGTACTGTACAGAGAGCTCCGCGCTGTTTGTTCATACACTGTGTGTGTGTTTCCTGGTTTTTTATTTGGTAGGCTGTAATAATAATGGTTGTCCTAATTAAGTGTTTTTCAGTTGTCTGTCTTGAGTGCATCTGACAGAACAGATTCATTTCTAGTTTAAAGTGTATTGACTTGACTATGACTGAGTTTTTCAGGTCTGATGTCTTGTTGTTTGTGTTGTTTACTGTCTGTTGGTTTTGGTTTTTCCCAGTTAAGACTTTGTCCTCTCTGCAGACAGCAGCTGAGGACCTCATCAACGGGCTGGAGGAGTACATAGCTGAGAGCTTTGTAAGGACAGCCTCTCACACACAAACCTCATGCAGACTACCACAGTCTCCATCTAATGTACTGTGCTGTGTGCTAGGTTTGTAGTGATTGACATAAGTAAATTGTGTGTGTTGTGTCTAGGCCACAGTGACAGTGCGAGAGGGAGTAGACATCGTTCAGACCAACCTGTCTTTCCTCAGACAGCAGTTCACACAGATGGCCTCTCACATCCTGCGCTGCAACGGTAACTTCTGTTAGAATCAGTGGCTGATCAGTCATATTAATCATCCTCTGCTACAATGTTTCATATTGCCCCTCCTCTGTGACTAAGCAGTTAGTCAGTTACCTAGAATACAGACTGAAGACACAATGGCCCTCAATAATTGTAACCATTGCAATAGTAATAATATGTTAATGAACACCTTCAGTCAGTGGTGAGTTGTCATGGTGTGACTTTTATGAAGAATCTTTAATCTCTACCAGTCCTAACTTTCCAAAAATTCTCAGAGTGAACTTTTCAGACTGTGGGTTAAAAGCCTTTCATCACCTCTCTTAAAGCCCCCACAAGAAAAAACAAAAGTGGTAGTGTTTCTACTGCTTCGGTTCACTGCATTTTTGTAATTCACAAAAACTAAAATGTTAAGCCTATTCAGGTTATTTTCTTATTCATTGTTAATTGTGTTAAGAATGGCATTGTGTATGCATGCAAACACGTGTACCCATAGTGCTGTTGTGTTGTGTAAGACCATGCTGAAAATGAGGAGGTGTGACAGTTTTTTCTGTCTTTGGTATTTCTTCATGCAGATCACACGTTTGGCCCCCGTCTGCTGCTGCTGTGCACTCAGGGCCTGTTTGAGTGTCTGGCTCTAAACCTGTACTGCCTTGGAGGAGAACAGAGGGCTCTGACTGCAGTCATCAACCACCGTATTGTTAGTATACATCATTCAGAACCACAGCATTATGCTTTACTCATATAAGTCTACAGCTTACAGTTTACAGTTACTTAGGAGAATATGATACATATCACAATACACAGTTACAATTCCATATATTGTGATATATTGCAATACTGTAAGCAAGGCAATATACACTGTGTTCCAAATTATTATGCAAATATGATTTCAATTAAAGAAACATTAGATTTTTTGTTTTTCAATGAAAGTTTTCAATTGTGCTGCTTCCCATGTCTGTTTAGATCACTGACAAAGAAGAGAGATAGTTTCCTGTTCGATGGACTTTGCCATCCCTGAGTGAATGTGTGTGAAAGGGTGAATGTGGCATGTAGTGTAAAAGCGGAAGACTAGAAAGGCGCTATACAAAGTACAAGGTCCATTTACCAATTTCCTTTGTGGGCATTGTTTAAGGGTGCCTTTATGCAATCAGCAAGCCTCTGGAGATCCTGCATCAAGAAGGAATCTTGGGCACAGCAACTTCAAAATACCTTTTTTACTACTCATCAGTGGCTTTTTTCACAGCTGCTGTCATTAACACGATGAATTAGCCTTACAAAAACTTTCCTTAACACGCCTTTTTAAATGAACGACCCCTCTCGCTCTGAATCAACAACAAATCTTTTTCATAGACGATGATCTCTCCTTAAATATTTCGTAAAATATCCAGTGGTTCATACCTATTGAAAGTTATCTGCACTATTTCAAATGCTTTTCATCTACAGAAAGATATTTTTCCCCTAATATTGCATGAAACCTGTGAACAACATCCTTAATAGTTTCCCATTAGTTAGGCTAAAGGCTAGAGACAAAAACCTTGTCTGAATTGATGCAGAT